CCTTGTGATCCATTGATTCATGTTTAATTGATAAAGCTGTGGTGTAAGCACAAGATCTCTTTATAGCTAAGTCACAACTAACCTGCTTATAATGATGTTTTGCTTCTTGCATAATAAATGTCTTACAAGATCATTCCAAAGATCATAGCATCCCTGAAGTGGTGGCTGGTGCTGACAGAAGTTCACCGAATCATAGAATAGTAGAACTGGAAGGGACCAGAAGGCTATCAAGTCCAACCCGAAGTACCCGGAGGAGGGCTTTCTCAGCGGTGGCGCCCAATCTATGGAATGCGCTCCCCAGAGAGGTCCACCTGGTGCCGTCGTTATACGTTTTTCGGCGCCAGGCCAAGACCTTTTTATTTAAACGGCATTTTAATTATTAGCTTATTTATTGATTTTATATCTTCAGCCAGGGCGTTTCCAATTATATTTTTTTATATGATTATATGTATTTATGTATTGTTGTAAGCCGCCCTGAGGCTTTGGCGAATGAGGCAGCATAGAAGTTTACTAAATAAATAATAAATAAATAAATAAATAAACCCCCTGCTGGTGCAGGACACCAAGTTATACCATCCCATTTAGATGACTGTTCAAATGCTTTTTGAAAGTCTACGGCAAGGGACGGCCCACAGCTTCCCCAGGTAATAGGTTCTATTGTCTCCATTGTGGAAAGCTCTGGAGGAGCACAGATTCTCCTACCTGATTTGCACTGATGGGAAATGACCCTCTAGGATTTCAGATAGGAGTCTTTACCTTGAGATGCTTACCTTAAGATGCTTGCAGTTAAGCCTGGGACCTTTTGGTTTCAGTGCACTATGCTCTTTTTCTATGTATCTCTGAACTTAAAAATGTCTAGTAGAAATAGTGGGCAGTGACTCTTCACATCACTCTGTGTAAAATCATCAGCAATGGTTGATTTAGTAAGTACTACAATGATTTACCAAAAAAATGTCCAGTCATAATAAAATTCTAATGCAGGTTGTTTCTATAACTTGATATACAGCTTAAAGGTACATTTCCCCCTCCTCCTCTGTTCATAAGAAGTATCCTGTAAAATTTTGAAATCAGCGTTAAAGGTAGTTCAGTCTGGTGTTGTATTATACTCTCACCTGCCTTGCATCCTTTCCACACTTTATAAATTGTTGCTAGTTGTGAAGTCGCCTCCGACCCATCACGACCCCACGGACAACATTCCTCCAGGCCTTCCTGTCCTCCACCATCCCCCAGAGTCCACACAAGCTCACACCGACTGCTTCAGTGACTCCATCTAGCCACCTCATTCTCTGCCGTCCCCTTCTTCTTTTGCCATCTATTGTTCCCAGCATTAGGCTCTTCTCCAGGGAGTCCTTCCTTCTCATTTGGTGGACAAAGTATTTGAGTTTCATCTTCAGGATCTGGCCTTCTAAAGAGCAGTCAGGGTTGATCTCCTCTAGGACTGACCTGTTTGATCACCTTGCAGTCCAAGGAACTTGCAGGAGTCTTCTCCAGCACCACAATTCAAAGGCCTCAATTCTTCGGTGCCAAGCCTTCCTTATGGTCCAGCTTTCACAGCCATACATTGCAACTGGGAAAACCATAGCCTTGGCTATATGCACTTTTGTTGGCAGGGTGATGTCTCTGCTTTTTAGTATGCTGTCAAGATTTGCCATAGCTTTCCTCCCAAGGAGCAAGCGTCTTTTAATTTCTTGGCTGCAGTCCCCATCTGCAGTGATCTTGGAGCCCAGGAAAATAAAATCTGTCACTACCTCCATTTCTTCCCTATCTATTTGCCAGGAAGTGTTAGGACCGGATGCTGTATCTTAGTTTTCTTAATATTAAGTTTCAAGCCAACTTTTGTGCTCTCTTCTTTCACCCACATCAAGAGGCTCTTTAAAAATGCCCCCCCCCCCCGCAAATGTGCTCATTATGCACTTCTTTGGATTTACCTCCAATTCACAGTTACTTGGTTAATTCAGAGAGCTGCACAAGATAAAATTTATGCCTATAAATCTACTTGAGATAAGTTATTTAACCACAAGAGAAGCCTTTTAACATTTAACATAAGTGCATGGCCACTTTCATCATCAAGTTGTTGCAAATGTTTATTGACATTAACCTATTCTTTCATTTAATTATTGCTTCTCCCAAAGAGTACAGCTGAGAGCATTCCCCCCTAACTTAATCCCCATGCATCAGTTTGGTGTGTGTGTGTGTGTGGGGGGGGTGCTTTACTTTGTTTAAATTGCTGCAGTTGTGTTGTTTGTTCAAGTTCTGCATCCCTCCATATGCTTCAACATACACAGCTGGAAGGGATATGGAAGTGTTGACTTCACCTGACAAGAACTTGGAGGGGGAAAGAGAGTGAATTTCCTGAAGGCGACAGGAGGAACAACTCCGGCAGCCAATGCTAGCCAGTCCTTGGAACAACTTGTTCCGTCTTGCAAACAAGTTCTCCTGCAAAGGGTGTGAGTGACAGCGAAGAGCACAAGTGCTCTTTGAGTGCCTTCTCTCCATCTGTTCACACAGCATGTTCCTTACCTATCATTACTGCAAGGCACAACTTCACCTAGCCATTTCCAAAAGGGAACAGGTGAGTGATTGTCTCGCCTGTTTTCTGGGTTTTTCCCAGAAAACTGCTCTGGGTATGGAGGCAGGGATTAATGCCAAGAAAGGGCATTACAACATCACACAGTTGGCAGTCAGAAATGCTCTGGCCTAAACCCACATGTCTGGATAAGGGCCCATGAGGCCAACTGAGTCAGAGGCTTCAAGGGCTGACCTAAGCACTTTAGAAAAATACAGTCCTTGCTTTTGCTCAAAGTACTTGCATCTGCTTTAAGTGCCATTGCTGGCTCCTATTTTAGAAAACAAAGGAGTTGGAACGGACATATACACTCTCCATACAGCATAATGTGAAAGTATTGCTTTCTTGATATACAAAGGAGACAGAACAGACTGGATTTATTTTCCCACTTTCTAAAAAATAGCTAGCAACATAAAAGGGGGAATGGAGACTGAGGCCTCCCATCTTACAAAAATATTGGGAAACAAAGAGTTTTGTTCTTTGTTTAAATGCTTCCAGATACCTTAGTTGTAAATAAAAAATTGGTATGTTTGCTATTAGCATCAAAATTGCATCAAAATTGCTGCCATTTAGCTTTTAGGAAGGATGTCAAAGAAATACTATGCCAACATTTCATTTCATTTCATTTATGAAGTGTTTTTGACACCTTTCTCTAAAAACAATTCAAGTTATCTTACTGCAAGGGTTCAGAGCATATGAAGAATTAAACCACTTTGAAACACTGAAAGCAAATCAGATCTGGTAAAAGAAGTAAATCACGAAGCTTCTTCATATGCTTTAAAATGCCAGAGAATAGAGAAAAAATCTTAAACTCTAATGTAGAAAAGTGGCACTGTTGATGTAAGCTTGATGGCCACTTCCAAGATGGCCCTTGCTTTTGTGGCCCATATATAAATCTATGGATGGATCAAGCCAGGGGGTTTCTGATAGCAGAAATTCTCTTCCATCACATCATAATAAAAGAATATGAAAAGCCATGGTCAGTTAATTTCTGAGGAATAGTTTGGGACTTCCGGGCAGCTGTCATGCTTGTCAGCATCCAGCATACCTTTGATCCGCGCATGATCCACGCCAGCCACGGTAACCTGTGTGGATCAGAGAACTGACTAAAATGCCCAACGGGAGTGGGAACAGGAATGTCTGAAAGCATGTGTGAACACACACACAGATGCAAGCTGGGGTGGCATGGTAGTTCGAGTGTTGGACTGGGCATCCAGAAGATCGGGGTTCTTGCCCGCACTGAGCCAGGAAGCTTGCTGGGTGACTTTGGGCCAGTCACAGGCTCTCAGCCCAACCTACCTCACAGGGTTGTTGGAGTGAGGATATACTGAGAGGAGGAGAAGACTCATGTCAGCTGCCTTGAGTCCCTTGAAAGGAAAAAAGGTAGGGCATAAATACAATAAAGACCTGTCAGATGCTGAACTATACTTGAACATGAGAGCTGTTCAGAAGTTGCAGTTGCCTAGTGCCCTTTTTGCCAGCCATTGCATGCACACAGCACGCCACGACATTCTAGGTGAGAACTTATTTGAAAACACGCCATGCTGCCCTAGTTTGGCAGGTTTTCTTGCGCATGACCATCAATGGATTAAGGTGAGAGCCAGTGTAGTGTCGTGGTTAAGAGCATGGGACTGGGACTCAGACGATCTGGGTTCGAGTCCCCGCTCAGCCATGGAGCCAACTGGGGGACTTTGGGCCAGTCACAGACTCTCAGCCCAACCTACCTCACAGGGTTGTTGTTGTGGGGATAAGATGGAGGAGGAGAGATGATGTAAGCTGTCTTGAGCCCTTTGTAGGAAAAAGGCAGGATATAAACCCATAAATAAATGAATAACTAACTAACTAACTAACCAATGTAGGGTTAGAGCCAAACTGCATGTTATGTTCCTAGAGTAGTGTGTAGCTGAGGCATTTGCTTTGTTTTACCCTATCGTAAGTGCCTATGGTCCCAATCTGGATCAGGACCAGTGGGTTCTGGGAGGGGAGGATTAAGCCTTCCTCTTGCCCCCACCCACAAAATATTCACATGCCTGTGTGCATGTGTCAGGGATAATAGTAAGAAAATGGTCTTCACTAGAGTAGAATTTGAGGGAACAGGAGATGATGGGGGAAAGGTTTAACCCTCTGCATCAGAACCTTGAGCAGTGACACTCCAGTAAAACAAATGAGCAATGAGAACCAAATGCACTGGAAAGCATTATGAGGTGATGAGACAGTTCGGTCTGGCATTTGAATGGCAATTCTTTATTCACCTATGCAAGCTTACTGCTTGTTATGCTTCTCCAAATGGTGAAAATGTATAAGTGAGCTGCCCTTTCTTCTCCTTCGTTGTAAGACCTGCATTCCTGTGTTGGGCAGATGCAAAGCATACATTCAGCATCTTTGTTGCAGTGGCTGTTTCCAGTTCTTTACTCCAGAATATTTTGTTTTACAGGAAGGAAAGAAGAAGTTCGATAAAGAAAGTGAAAAATATTATTCTACCCTAGAGAAGCACTTAAATTTATCTGCAAAGAAGAAGGAGTCACACCTGCAAGATGTAAGCTTTTATTACTGCAGATTTTATTTCCATATGTAAAAGAGAAAAGGGAAATATATTCAAGAAAAGTATCTAATTTATGTCGAACTGTGCAACCTGTCTGTGCAGGCGTCTGTTCTGTCCCAGAAATAAGTATTTATTATATTTATATTTCAAATTTCACAAAAGCATCAAAGCAGTGAATATAAATACAATGACATAAAAACAATAGATTTAACCATGAAAACAAAGCAGTGCCGATGAAGCCAGAATAGAACTGCACCTACTAACATTTCCTACAAAGCATAGGTTGCTTGAACCCATTTCAGGGAAATCCTTTCTAAAGAGATGAGTTTACAAGGAAATCACAACCTGAGGGTCCTTCTCGTGTCATTTGGTAAAGCATTCCGGCAGTATATGCTGTAACACCATGGTCCAATTTACAAGATTGCAGCAGAGCTTACAAACCACGGTGTGTTGTTAACTCCTGGTTGTGTGTCAGCTGGTTCATCCTTGCCAGTGTGGATTTTCATGTCATCTGAACCCAGAGAGGGTAACTTTTTGAAGTGGTTACTATGCCACACAGAAACTGTGGCCTATTTAGCATAGTGGGGTGGTTTCCTATACCCACATCATCACTGTGAGGTAGGATGGGCTGAGAGTCAGTGACTGGCCCAGAGGTGCCCAGTTGGGTTCATGGCTGAGCGGGGACTAGAACACTCCTCCTTTGCACATTTAAAAGTCACTGGCCTTTTTCTTGCACATTGTTCTTTGTTAACCATAAGCACAAAACACCCCAAATGAATATCTGATCATGCACAGAGCCATTTGTTGAACCCAGTCCAGGAGCTCTCTTCATTTCGGAGGGTCCTTCTGAAACCAAGCACCCCTCCTGTCTGTGCACCAGTCTTTGAATTGAGCTCCCCTCCTCTGCTGACACCTCCTACTGGGGTCAAAATCCAGGGGCACCTCATCTGTGTCTGAGAAACTCCCCTGCTCCAAGTCCCCTCCCACCATCTTGGTTATTCCCAGAGATTGCCTGCCCAGCGTTCACACTGGCGCCCTCCAGGAATCGAGCCCACACAAGTGCTGAGCAAGTGGCCTCCTTGTTCTGCATATGTAACTCACAACCTATTTCATGCTGCATGTGTTGCAGAAGAAGGTTGCTGTTTGCACAGCTGGACTTCTGTCAGCATTGGTGGACTTGCTCTCAGCTTGGCTTGCCTCCTAGGTGAGGGCCAAGTACAAGAAGAAGTCTGATGGGCAGAAGAGGGCCATACTCTGGCAGACTCAGTGCAGCCCTACCGTAGAACATGTTGAAGTAAATTCCCAGCCAGAGAAAGCCTGAGTGAACAAGTGAATTTTTAGGAGACCAGAAAGATACCTAGTTTTCTGCCCTGCAAATGGCACAAAAGATTTTTTTCAACAGGGTGTGTGCCGCTGAGAAATCCCACCATCAAGGCATTGCTGAACAGCATTCCATTAATCTTGGAATGGCCAGCATGGGCTGCCTTCACTGCTCATAATGGTTGGTTGGGTATATATAAGGAAAGTCCATCCACTGGGTATCCTGGTCCTTGTTTCAGGCTTTCTATGACAAACCCTGAGCAATGCTTGGAAGCTAATAGGCAGTCAGTGCAGTTCCTTTAGCACAGGTCTTGTTCGCGCTCAGCTGGGCATCCCCGTGAGCACCCAACTCACGTATTTTCCACCGACTGCAGCATCTGAAGCAGGCTCAAGTGTAGCCCTGTAAGGAGTGCATCACAGTAGTCTAATTGTGAGGCCAGCAGTGCGTGAATCACTGTGGTTGGGTTATCTCTATCCAGGAATGGGCATGGTTGGCATACCAATCAAAGCTGGTAATGAGTCCGCATTAGCTCATTCTTCCTGTTGTTCACTGTCATTCTAAGATGTAGGATTGGCAGTACTGTGCGCCCATAGCAGTAATCCAGGGCCCCAGGCAGGACTCTTTACCATCGTCTTATGACAGGAGATGTCAGAGGTGTTATCTGGCCCTTTTACATGAATCAGGAAAAGATGGGAAGAAAACCATATTTACATTTGGAGAGGGCCCTATGCTTCTAAATTCAATTATCTGTATTGATTATTGCCTATTCCAATGTAAGCAAGAAGCTGTAATTGAATTTAGAACTAGGTTTTGATGATGATGCACTAAAGAGGTGCTATGTATGGGGAAATCAGTTGCAAACAGAACAAGACACTGTTTTGTTACCTGTGCATACCAGGTTTACTCATATGCAATTTCTACCAAGGCCTAAATCCCATTGCTATTGATGGCAGGGACAATGGGCTCCTTTGCCATTAAAAGCAAGTTGGAATGCATTTCATAATTGTGCTGCCTTTCTAGTCGTGATCTGCTAAAGTCGACTGAAGTGCTGATTTAATTCTTTCATTTGAATAAAGTATCTTTATTCTCTTTCTAAGAATTAAGTAATTAAATGCGGTGCCTAAATAACAGTTACATTGGGAAAAAAGCACAAGAACCAGGAATACCATGGTAGTGGCAGAGATGATAGGAAACTGTATTTTAGCTTGAGCCTCGGCATATAAACTCTTGGATGGAAGATTCATGAGTTTGGCTAGTTTCTTAACTGACAACTTTATGCCTAGCTGTCTTTTTCCAAAATAGATGCAGGTTCTTGGAGAGGATGATGTAAAATAAAACAGTTTTGAACTGTGTCAATTATTATTGTAGGCTACAGGATCTACTGTGTGTTCTGCCAGTTCAATAAATAATGACTTTCATATTATGTTACTCAGTTGTATTTTCGAAGTTTTAATCTTTGCAAACTACCCAGAGAGCTCTGGCTGTTGGCTGCTGTAGAAATGTAAAAAAATGAAAATGAAATGAAGCAAATGGTTGAGCTGAGGACATTGATGAAAATCCTGACCATTGAATGAAGTAATTTGCAGAGTTAGAAAGGATCAGAAATGTCCCTTCGAGCTATGCTATCTTCTGGTCCCTACATAAGCAATACATTGTCCAGATTACTGTGTGCTGGAAGAAATGAACAGATGCCTAGAAAAAAGATCAAGATTCCACGGAAGCCAAGCAGGCATGTTTTAGAGATACTGCTTTGTTTATTTGATTTTATACCTCTCCTTCCTTCCAAAAGATGCCTCTCATGGTGGCTTACAGAAGCCCACATGTGGACGCAGTTGGAACACTCACCCGAGTCCACAAGAGCTTTTCTGAAGTCGTGCTGAAGACACATACCCCATTGCCCCCATGTGGATGAGGTTACATGTAAGGCAGAATCTGAACATGGGCCTCTGGTTATGTGGGTGCCTGGTTTGGAATATCTGCCCTGCTGCCTTTTTGTGTGGAAGAATCTTCAGAATCCATCCGGAGAATAATTAGTATAGAGGAGAGGATGCATTTGTTTCTCCACCATGGGAAATATTTGTCTCCATAAATGCCTATGAATGACATAGTCAGTAGGCAGTCTCATTGCACGAAAATTGCCATAACGCTTCATCGTGTGTGTGTGTGTGTGTGTGTTCCCCGCCCCCTTTTGAAACTGAAAGGAGGCTTTCTTTGCATTTATTTTCCTCCTAAATTGTTGCTCTGGTGCTTCTCTGTCGATGTCTTCCCCTGATATTCTTCTTTGGATTAAATTAGTAGGCTGTTTCCCCCAGCTCTTCCACTATGCTGCTTCGGGTTCCTCATATAGGTTCCATCCCAATCCAAAGAAAGTTAATTACTTTGAAATCCCGCTGAAATCCGTGGGTCAAATTAGTCAATTATCTAATGGAAGCTTTCTTTGAAATGGGGCCACCTTTATTTCGCATAGTTTCAAAAAGTCTTTGTTTCATATTTGTTCTGCAGTTTGTTGAATAATAAAGGATTACTGGTATTATTTCTTATCGCTATCCTGGTTTAAATTTTATGCATGGAGTTTAGAATAGCCTTTGACAGACCATGCATTTTTTTGTAGTTGGTCACTTTTAGGAAAATTGGTCTTTTAATATGTTGCCAAATGTTGATACTAGGGTAGTGATTGTTGGTTTTTACTTATATTTCTTCATCTGTCTGCCTAAATCTTTCTAGAATTATTTCTAGTCTGCCTTTGATGGAAACCTCTTAGCTGGATTCTTAAATCAGCTTAATATACATCTGCATGCTCTGATATTGTTTGGTTACAAATAAAAAACATTTCCTTTATATTTCTGTGGTGATTTTTCTTTTCTGTTTAACAAGATGTGTAGTGTTTTATGAAAAGCTTAATTTAATCCATATTCAGTTCAGCACAATTTGTGATCTGTGTGGTTCAGCCATTTAAAATAGTCATTTAAAGTGTATTTCATTTACTCTCTGGATTGAATTAGATACTAAATGTTGAAACTGATAATATCTTATTTCAGGGAACTAGGAAAGTACTTCCATGTTTTATTTTTTATTATGGTTTTTTGAACAGAAGTTCCTAAGCCAAATAAACCACTTTTGAAACTGTGGGGAGACTTCAGAAGCAGCTTCCGCGTTTAGCATTATTACTGTGTCTTCATAGTTCATGTCTTGAAAATAAGGGTCTCAGTGGATCTTAATGAACACCTCTCATTTAAGGCTAGACTGCCAATCTCAAAAGTTCTTTTTTAGCTTTGATTTAAAATCCAAGCTGGAGAAACAACAATAAGTCCTGCCTCATTTCACATCAACTTTTCTCCCTTATTTACTTGGCTTGCTGCTGTGGCCATGGCGGAATGGAAGATCTGTGTCTCTCCAGCATCCTGTTCCGGATGCATACTATGAGGAACCCACAAGGCTGCGGAATAAATGTGTTTGATTCACACTTTAAGATCAGCCTACTGAATATGTGCTGCCCCAACCAATACAGGAATCCAGTCAAGTCTCGCCATGAGTATTTACTGTACTGCTACTTGTAATGGGACAAGTTTGTTCAAAGGAAGAAGTATGGCAGTTGTGGGCAAGTGAGAGAAACTGGAAACACTGTATAGAGACCTCTTATAAACTGGCTTGCCTCTTCATGAAGTTCTAACCATTGATATTTCATGCCTCCTTTGACCTGAAAGATATAATATATCTGTTACAGAAGCCATCTCTGATATAATAAAGCAGAGGGTATACCGTACATTTACAGGTATTGTCATAACACTGTGTTTAAATTTTTAGGCAGATACTCAGATTGACAGAGAACATCAAAACTTTTATGAAGCATCATTAGAATATGTCTTTAAAATCCAGGAAGTGCAAGAGAGAAAGAAGTTTGAATTTGTTGAGCCGGTAAGTTTGTTTTGTTGTTGCTATTATAAAAATGCAAATATAAGCAGGGTTAACGCCAATGTCACACAAGCAGATTCCATGCACATAGTGAGTGCTTTTGTCGTGCCCTTCCTGTTATGGTCTCTATAGGGTACCTCTAACCTGTGGGCCAGTTTGGCCCATGAGACTAGCTCGCAGGAGTCCTGATGCAGCGCTTTCCTTCAGCCCTGGGCCTCAAATGGGAGAGGGGGCAGCAGAGTGAGTGAGCATGCGGTCATTTTGCACCCAGAGAGCATTTTGGCAAGCTAGCCAAGTCCTGAGATCAGAATTGTGCCATTCCTGGAAGTGCAGCGCAGGTGCATTTTGCATGTCCTTCACTTCCCCCACATGGCTTTCCTGCATGGTCTTAGAAGTACTGATCCAGTGACCTTTGCTCATGCCTTGCATCCACTGGGGAAAAAAGCAAAGGATGATCATTGTAGGTTCCCAGTCTGGAAGCCATTCATCTCCCATTCATCTCCCTCATTCAACCTGTGGTGGGGGAACAAGGGCCAATCTGATCTGGTTCACCATGCGTGGTTTAATCGAACATACCCTGTTTTGATCGAACTATGAATTGTCGCTGTGTCCAACCTGGGTGGACTGGGGATTGTCTGAATTCCCCAAAGCAGGATTATAATCTGTGTCTAAGCTCTGTGTGTGATACTCAGTTATCTTGTTCCATGAATGAAATGGCTTTCACCTGCAAAGTGGGGCAGAGAAGATTCTGCTGCTTGCTTGCAATCTCCCATGTGCCCTCAGAATCTGATCCAGATGGTTTGTAACTGCATGTGAGCAAAGGAGAGGGGGAAATCCTGTTGGTTACATAGGCTTTCACCCTTTGTCTGTTTCCTTTTCCTGTGTGCTGAGCACTGCCGCTTCCATGACTGAGGGGTCTCTAAGTGGAGCTACAGTGCAACCGCTGTAATTATTGTCTGTCAGTTCAGAGTTCAGGCCAAGCCACATTTAGCACAAGCCATGGGTGCCAAACCATTTTAAATATTTAAATTGTGGTTTGTTAATTCAGACATCATGCTGAACTCCATTCTGTTTCCTTAACCACAGCTCAGTGTGATGCTTATACTGTGCCCAACTGTCTTACAGGCAGTTTATCTGCAGTGACCAACATATCTTAGAAAGGAAACCTTAATGAAGCTCTCAGGAATTTTGTGAAGATAATGTTATTGATTTGCATTCCTGCACTGTATGTATTTAAAAGGGACTGTATGGATCAATTAAAGAAGGGAATTAATATTGTAAGCCCTTAAATGCTTGCTCTCTAACATAATCTCAGTTTCTTAAATGCTCGCATAAAAGTTTTCTCATCCAGTGTGGAATGAAATTCCAGATGACTTGCCATCTATCTGCATGACATTTTAACGACTTTTACTTAGCTGTGTTGTCTGTGCAACACACAACAAGTATTTCATAATGTAAAAATTGGCTCAAAATGCCTAAGCAAGGCATTCATCCTCAGATTTCAATAAATCTGTTTGACCTTTTATTAAAGGAGCAACAGAAAGAAGAATATGGAATATATCTTCTAAAACTGAATTGCTAAGGCAGGACTCAGCTACATAGGCCTTAACCTGTCTCATTAGAGCTGGAATTCTGTACATACTTACCTGGGAGTCAGACCACTTGAGCTTAATGGAAATCACAGCTGAGTAGACGTGCTGAAGTTCTTTCTGGAAGGTGCTACTAGGACTGACTGGACCTTAGGGCCCTAATCCAGGGTTCTACAGTTCAGAATCCCCCACCCCAAATGATCACCCCTGGAAAAGCAGGTAATTAGAGCACTGGCCAACAGGGCTAACCTAAATACCTTTGTCAGCTTGGGCATCCTGGAACTTACACTGTTCATTGCAGCTTCCTTCTTATTTTTAAAAACTTTTCCTAGTTGGGATGGCCAGGCCAGCATGCAAACACGATATAGTTGTATTCATTCTCAGGCAATTCCCAAATAGGTTTGGGGCTTGTTGGTTGGTTGGTTTTCACTCTAACACATAAGGAAAATAGAAGCAGTTGTAAATCATGGCACTGGGGGTAGTGGACAAAATTAACATTAGTTGTGCACTTCAGAGCTCCAAAGACGCAGGGTCTAAATTACCATGCTGCTCCACAGCAAGTATGTTGCTGCCATTGCAGTCTTAACATGCAATGTTAAGCCCTTGACACAGAGGGCTTTTGGACTGGAAAACACAAAGGAAAATGAGCTGGAAAGAATAGTGGTAGTTGACATCTGAAAATGGAATCTCACACAATTGAAAACTATGGCATTTAAGTTGATGCTGATGTTTTGTCTGTGGTGATTAATCTACGATGGCGTATGGACACATGCAGTTCACAATGTGATACATTGAACATGCATGATCTGTAACCCAACATACATAGGCATATTAGTTTCCCCAGATTTCTGCTGTTAGTACATCAAAGACCATATATTTACCTTTCTCTGACTCCCTAAATCATCCAGTTCAATAAATCAAATCAAATCAAGTATGTTGCTGCCATTGCAGTCTTAACATGCAATGTTAAGCCCTTGACACAGAGGGCTTTTGGACTGGAAAACACAAAGGAAAATGAGCTGGAAAGAATAGTGGTAGTTGACATCTGAAAATGGAATCTCACACAATTGAAAACTATGGCATTTAAGTTGATGCTGATGTTTTGTCTGTGGTGATTAATCTACGATGGCGTATGGACACATGCAGTTCACAATGTGATACATTGAACATGCATGATCTGTAACCCAACATACATAGGCATATTAGTTTCCCCAGATTTCTGCTGTTAGTACATCAAAGACCATATATTTACCTTTCTCTGACTCCCTAAATCATCCAGTTCAATAAATCAAAGCTTATAGTAATTTAACACAGTCCTAACCATAAGTGTGTTCGCAGCTGGGCTACAGGGATTCCAGAAGGAAAAAGGCAGCCTCGGATGCCTGCAAGAGGCTTATTTATTTTTATGTACTGTTGGTGACCCTGAGATTGTTTGGTCATCTCATTCTCACAGGAAGAAGATTGCACTTCCATTTTGGATAGCATAGGAATTTGACCTCCAGCCTTCAATTCATCAGCCAAGAAGTTACTGCCTTCCTGGTTCAGTGTTTGGTTTTTGTTTTTTAGAACTTAAATTAGTGATAAGAAAACAGAAAGCTTAAATGGATGTAATTATTATTATTATTATTATTATTATTATTATTATTATTAATGAGACTACAGGTAATTGCAACAATGAACTAGGCCAACACTTTACTGAAAGGATAACTGCCATGGAACTTTATCCAGTATGACCATGCTGTTTTCTTTGCAGTGTTCATGCTTTAAACAGCACCATAAAGAGGAGATACTCAGGAAATGCAGCTTACTGGCATTAACAGAAACCAATTAACCTCTCCAGACTCTGGTTTTTTTCATGCATCCTTAAAAAAACCCATAAGGCATGGAAACCCTAAGCCCAATGTGCCATACTATCACTGAGGCTATGACTGCATTCACCCATACAGGAATAAGCTTAGATATATTGGGAAATGACACTTCTTGCTTCCGTTAATTAGAAATTTAGCATTACATCTAAACCCTCAGGGGTGGTTAATCTTAACCATGGTCTATCACAGGGGTGCCAAATCACCTCCAAGCGAAGGTCCGAATTCCATTTTGGAGACGCACTCAGGGGCCAGATCCAGTGGCGGGCAATGCTGAATGCAGAAAGGGTGTGACACAAAAATAGCTGGTATATTTTAGTTTAAAGCTTCTCTGGCAGTGACTAAGCCTGAGGAAAGACAACTCAACCTTTTATATGTTGAGGGGGTTGGAAAACAAGAGCCAAGAAAATATGAAATGACTGGTAGTTGGAGGAAATGGGGGAAGGGGCTGTTGGCTTCTGGGGAAGGGCATATAGCCTTCTGGCAGAACCTGGACAGCTGGATTGGGAATCCTGGACCCCAGGCATGAGGCTCTGCACCCCTCATTCATTGAAACAAGCTAGCTTCATACATTCAGGTTTGACGTTAGCTTGTTTTTGGCAAACCATAGTTAAAACTTAGGCTTAGTCGTAACTCAGATTGCAGTTGAAAGTTGTTCTCTATGTAAGTACACAGGACACAGATGGGTTGAGTATATGAGTTACACATGGTGTTTTAAGGTGGGATGCCTCTTTTGCATTGTAGGAATGCTGTAGGGTAGAGGTAGATGATCTGACCATCTCCAGATGTTTTGGACTTCAATAAGCTCCAGGCAACACTGCCAGTAGCCAGTGATTGTGGGAGTTCTACTTGAAAACATCTGGAGGTGAAACAGGTTGAGTATTCCTGCTGTACACAGGGAGGGAAGATGACTCATGTGTTAATTGATTCAGCTAGATTCACAATCAAAGCCTCACATCCCAGCCTTTCTCCAGACCACACAGAGGTAAGAAACATTATGCTCAAAGCAAAACAAACAACATCCAAAGGAACAATGTGGATTTGAGGCAAGTGACAAAGGGAAGGGTATTTTGCCCTGCTGGCTTTTTCTCACCCGAAGGGCTTGGACTTGGTTTAGATAATGACAGGGGATGGGTTATGCAAACCCTTACTGCTGATTTTTCAGACTCCATTGGTCGTCCAGAAGTGGCTTTTCCAGTTTTTTAGAAAGGGAAAATACTCCTGCATGCCACATCTAGTTTGGTGCTGCTGAGAAATATTTGGCTTGGTGTCATGTGCTCCTTTTCTTCCAGGCTTTTCCCAGACTCCCTCTGTGCTGGCTGTGGACTCTGGGGAAGAGCAAAGTCAGCTCTGGAGGGCAGCAAGTTTTGGCGATTTGCTGGGAGCCCCAAAATGGTGAAGGGGTGCTTGTTCCAGCAATGGCACCATTCAGACTTTTCACAAATCACACCATACACTCCCCCTGCTACAAATTATCAGGGGGTGGAGAGGGAGCATATGGGAATCCTCTGTTTGTCCACTCTGCCTCTAATTTGCCTTGAAGGCAAATGAGATGCAAGCAGGACTGTCAGTTTGTTCTTGTGTCTGTCAACTCTGCCTCTAATTTATCTTGAAGGCAGATGAGATGCGAGCGGGACCACTAGTTTGCTCTTGTGTCTGAATCATTCAAACTCTCTTTTCCCCCACTTCCTGCTTTCCATTCTGGATGTAGTTGAGCTGAGCTGGGAGAAAAGCGCCCAAGGCAATGGCAGTTCCTTTGCTTGCAACCTGGTAGATGTTGAAATGTTGACAATCATTTCATTCAAAACTTCCTACCATGCTTTGAGAGTCTCCACATTGCACTAGATGACCACCTGCAGGTGTGTTGAAACTCTCAAAATAATGTTGCTGAATCTTTTTTGGAAACAGCTTGAAATGATACAGAAGGGATATAAAGCTTCACTTTGAAAATGTGTTTGGAACTAGGATTTTGAGAATCTTGCTTAACCAAATGAAATTTTTATGTGGATGAATTTAACAGTTCACAAGGAACATGATGTTGCTGCCATCTAGTGCCATTTTACCTGCAGTACAGAAGAGAACTGCCAAGGAAGGACCGGTGTTTGACTTCATCTAAATTCTCCCCAAATCATGCTGAAGCTCATTTGAACTTGCTCTCATTTTTGCTTTTGGCCAGTTTGCATCAGCATCAGTATTATTTGTTCAAAAGGAAACAAGCATATTTGAGAAAATACTCGTGTCTGTGCAAATTTTTCAAAAGTGCAAAACCATAGTTTTTTAAAATGCGCATTTCAAAGTGTTCTTTAAAAAAACTACAAACATTTTGAATGCTATCAGAAATTCAGGAATTTGCAAACATTTCTTGGGGAAGAGAAAACATCACTATTTGCAAATGGGGCATGTTCATATGCTTTGCAAACAGAAAGCAAATTCTCATGCGTCCCCAGGGTCTGATAAGCAGATTTTAGAAAACAAAAAGGCAGTTAATATTCTGAAGCATTTCTGCACAAAGGTGGTATTTTAACAGTACATTAATAATAGATTGAGGTGCATGAAGGATACCCAAAGAAGGTGGACTAAAAGACGTTTCAGAATGCCTAAGGTTTCCCTGTTGGACACTTGGCCAACATTGGAGGTATACTGAAAAAATTTATTTGATAAATCCCCCCCAACAACCCACAATTAAGACTGATATTAAGTAAAGTCTGATATTAAGCTTTTGCCCTCCTGACTCATTGCTGTATGTGCAAACTGCTTCTATTTGAGCCTGATTGAATCCAAAGGAATTTTCTCTTCTTTTCTGATGGGTCATGTGCAAACCTAGCAGATAGCCTGGCATTAAGAAAAGCAGTTTCATTTGATAAGACAGTGCATGACTTCTGATATTGCCCTTTCACCTATGCCCATAGACCTGTTTTATATTTGCCACTTCATCCGTAAGCTGTTGGCAGGATTCAGACTTCCACTCCATGAACAGAAGGGCTCCTCCATTTCCAGAGGAACCAGAATCCAGTGGTGGCTTTCAGCTGGAGGAAGGGAGCACGGGAGACATGCTCCAATGCTACCTCCTGCTTGGGGGTCTGGAGGGGGTTCACCACACCTACAGAATAGTGTGATAGCCTGCGGACTTCAGAAAGAAGGAATAATGCTTTCCCAATCATTTCTGGTACCAGCGAAACACCACTGGATCCAGCCCAATGCATTTTGAATTCATGGTTAGTCTTCCTGCAGCGCTACAGAGGATACGTGCTCCAGCAGGAGTTCACTGGCAAGCGCCCCCTGCGGATGCTCCCCCCATCATTACTGCAACCTCCTTTTCTCCAATTCTGACCCAGAAAATGGTGGGAGTAGGAAGGAAGTGATGTGGCCGGCTTTTAGGCTCACTCTCTGCCCTGCCAAGCAAGCAGGAGCAATCCTGAGAAGAAAGTCGAGGAGCAATAGCAGCTGGCCACCATGGCAGCGAGAAGGTTGGCCCCGGGAGTGCGGGAGAAGGCCCGTCAAGAGCTCCATGTCCAAAGGCCTTACAAAAGCTGGAACTGCTCTGACTACCATTCACTGAAATTACATTGCACAAGTGTAAGTGTCCTTTAGTAAAAATAGCATTTGCAGGGGAGACCAGCATAGTGCTCTGTGCCTCTGCTGCTTCTTCCGGTTATATGCAGTTTCAATTTTTTCCTCACAAGTCATCCGAAAACCAACTATGGAGTTTTTTGTTTTAATGCATAATGAAAGCCGTAGACATCCTACTTAGGCCTTGGAACATGAGACTTGAGGACAGAGTTGTAGTCTTGGCGTATGGCATAAGAAGTTGCAACCAGTGCCTTGAGGAAATGAGTTAACAACATACGGTGTTTCTAGCTCTCCATACCAAGCTGACACAGCCCTTCCTTTGGGCCATTGGACGCTTGTTCTCCCAGCTTTCTTCCTTGGTTGGGTGATCTGAGTGGGAAAAGCAGCGATGCTAGGTTTCTGTTGTCCATTTGGTGATCATCACAATGGTTTCTTGAGGTTATTAAAATTGTATGCAGGCACATTTGAAAGAAGTTAGACAACCGGGGAAGTATTTTGAGAATTTGAGTAATGAGAGGTACACGGACAACTCAGCCCAAACAGCTCAAACTGGCTTCAGTGGGAAAGGTTCTGGCATACACTTTCCCTTCTGCCTTGTTCCCCTTTTCTACCTTGTTTGCTAGCCATGGCTGTTAAGATGGTGTAGACATTTGACTGCTGCCCAAGTTACTTTTGGATAGGCCTGCAAAGTTTCTGTAGATGCACAGACCTGAAATTGCGCTGACCAACACTCTCTGTCCCAAATCACCTCCTCAGCTATCTGTGCATCAGATTTGAGCTTGCTATTTGCAGCCTTTTTTGATCCAAATATGTACATCTCATTTTCCCGCCTCCTGGCTCTGTGTATCTCTGCCTCCTCCCTCAGTTTCCCCTCCTTGCCTGGCCTTCTTCCTCATGCCTCTATTCCAGGTCTTGTGCCACACTATTGTCCCACCTGATGCTAATTGGAAACACTCCAGCAATTACGGTGAAAGAGACTTTCACTCATCTCGCTAGTTAAGCAGTTGACTGCCACGGCCTTCACCTTCCCAGGCAACCCATTACTGATTACTGTATTAAACCACAATATACGTTCACCCCACTGGAAGGAAATTCTTGCCCATTTATTATCCGAAGCAGTCTCTATTGTCTTCTATGTCTGCTTAATAATGTATATGATACTCATTTTTAATTCTTGGTTTTGAATCTCTTTTCTCCTGCTTTTCAGCTTTTGGCATTTCTTCAGGGATTATTTACATTTTACCACGAGGGATACGAGCTGGCCCAGGAGTTTGCACCATACAAGCAACAGTTGCAGTTCAATTTACAGAACGTAAGGCCAGACTGCATTTACTAGAGCTTCTTAGATAATTGAACTTCACTATAAGGAAAGGGATGCTCGACAGTGCTTTGTTGTGATGCTGACGTCTCAAGAAAACAAATCTAGTACACTCATGAATAAATGCATGCCGCTTCATGTATTGCTTAGTCATGTTGAGTTTCATCCTCTGCCTTGAGAAAGCCAGTTATTGATTTAACATCTCTAAGGTTTAAATTACTACAACTTGCTCTGTTGCCAGTTCAGAAAAATAATCCCATTCAGGATCTCTAGTAAGTGAAACAGACTTAAGTATAAGCATGTATAAGACCTGTCCTGATTAAAGCTGGGCTCCTGCTTCTGATTTGCCTTTTGGTAGGGCTACGTAAACCTTGTCTGAAAAAAAAAAAAAAAATATGTGCTTGGCCACTCCAGTTTCAGAAGCAAGGAAAGCCAGGTTGTGTTGTCATGGAAGTTAGCGAACTGAATAAAAGTTGCATGTTTCCTTTTCGTTATTTGTGCTGCAATGCTTCCTGTTTTGCATTATTTGGGCCCCTGTAGCTCTGCCCTAGTTGGGAAGGGGCTACCATTCAGTAGTGAAACACATGCTTTACATGCCAAAGGCCTCAGGTTCAGGGCTAGAAAGACTCCTGCCTGAAACTCTGGGGAATGGCTGTCAGTCCATGGCCAAGATTGGACAATGCTGCAGCTTGTCCTGGCTTATTTAACCCAGGATGGGTTGCAGAATCCAAGATGCATCCCTGCTTGGTCCTTGTGTCATGCAAACCCAGCAGGATTGGGTTATTCAAGGGTTAAGCAAGCATCCCATGACCTGCGTTGCCAGGTTCACACGACACAAATGGTTGGTTAGATTGAAAATGGCAGCTGCCCATGCCCCAGCCTCACCATATACAATGCATGGTGGACTGTTGTGTCATGTGGAGATCCCAAATCCCAACAAGAATAAACTGGATGGTCTAACTCAGTGTTAAGCAGTTTGCTATAATGCTGTATTTCACTGAAACCGACCCCAACAGGTGACCAGCAAGCATTGCCCTTCCTTTTTAAGTATATCTATGCAGATGTACGGTCAAATATTTTGATTTAAAAAGAAATGAAAGCTGACATGTTCAGGGAGCGAAACCACATTCAAGTGCAGTTCTTCTCTCCAGTCCTGCCGAACTCGGACATAACATAAAAATGTGTGTGAAACCTAACAACCCTAATTCCTGTTGCTGCTCCTGAGAGAACTGAAGGATAATTCATTGTATGTGCCCACCAAGTTATTTTTATAAAGCTGTAGCTTTTGAAATGAACAATAGATTATATAGTACCCTCCTGTGAGAATTTCAAAATACCTCTGTGAACTGGATAGGCAAGTAATTTGAAAATCCACCCCAAAAGTACCAAACTTCAGCCAAGAGTATAGAACTCATATAAACACTCTGTCCATTTCATACTGAAGTATTTTTTGAATTGGAGATCGTGTAGGGCAACCTCTCCCAACCTGGTACTCACTAGCTGTTTTGGACTACAACTCCCAACATTCCTGTGTAGAAGCCACACTGGCAAGACCTTCTGGGGATGGAGATATAAAGCATATGGAAGATACCAGGTAGGGGAACACTGGTGTAGACAGTCAGATAGGAAATACCATTTTATGCTTTGAATACTTACTCAGTTGGAGTGGTTTCTCTTTTTCAGACAGCCTCCTTGAGAAAGAAGAAACTTTAAATAAATAAAGTGCACTTGCAGCTCTTGATCCTTTTGCTAGAGGGCACTCAAGATTATCTTTAGAACGTGCAGTCAGTAATGTCTCCGTACCATATTTAAGTAGCCCAGGAGCCATTTCCCTGTGGCTTCGCCCCATGCTGCAAAAGCAGAATAGGGAACCTTTCAGCCTAATTCCAGCAGCCTAATCTCATCCTGACAGCCTAATTCCAAGCAGAGAATACTCTTGGAGGAGATATTCCATATAAGAGGATGCAGTTCATATAAATAAGCAGGGCTAAAGGCAGGGTGTGACGCAAGCCTCGAATAAGCAGGATGGAAACTCAGCAGTTTCCTCCAGAGATCTCATGCATTCAAAAGGACCATTTAAGCATCTAGCCAATCACAGGGCTTCTTCCTATCCATCTAGCTAGAAGGAAGGGTAGGGACTGAGAAGGGTGGACCTAAGCAAGACTTCTGAGCTTTACCTCCTTAGCATGGACCAAAGCAAGGTGGGTATGGATCATGTGCTACTGTGGAGTAAGATCAGAAGAGGCCTGAAATCAGTGTGTTCTTCTTTGAAGCCTGAAGATGTTCAGGTGCAGTGCTGAGTAGTTGCCCTTAAACTGTGGAATGATATCAGAGGTGAGTCTGATATCCCAGATTGCCACCTTTAGGAAAGACTTGAAAACGTATCTCTTTCGACAGCCCTTCCCTGATTAATTTCATATTAATTTCGACAGCCCACCTATTAATTTCATGATGTTTTTAGTCAATTTTAATCACTTTTGGTTTTAACTTCTTATAAACCAGCCAGAGCCTATGGAAATGGGGCAGTTTAAACAGATTGAAATAAATAAATAAATTTGGGAACTCTCAGGAGCAACATCTGACCCTTAGAGTAATTTTTAACTTCACTCAGTAGAAATGTTAAGTATGAAGCAGATAAGGCGGTTGGGAAGTAAACATGATAATGACAAAGCACAGGGAGAGAAGAAATGCTTGTGGTTATAATCAACACCTTGTTTTCCAAGCACCAGAGGTCACTGTTGCCTCATTGCAAGCAAAGCTCTCCCATTTTGTACCTGTCATTAATGCTTTAGGCAACTTCCAATGTCTAGCATTAGTGCAAAGGAAAGATGTTTTTATTCATTTTGCTCATGGCTCAATGGGAACTCTTAGTCACTGCTGAACATCAGCAAGGCCCAACAACATCACTTGTGTCATAGAATAATTCAGTGCCAATTTTGGCCTTGTGGAACTATCCACTGAAATTTAGCCCAAAGGAATAGATGGGTGGGTGGGGGTTATTGTGTATGGCAGAAGTTTCCAACCATTTTTAAAAGTTTGGTGAGAATATTTACAATTTTAAAGGAGTGCTCTTGCAAAATAGATGCAATGCTGGGTGTGGCTGGCCACAAACCACCAACAATGATTGACTTGCCCGAGAATTTTAATGCAAAGCAGAGCTGAAGTCTGGGCGTGCCTCTTCTTAACCGAGTAAACATGATGTTGGAGGGCAGCACACCACTTTGAAGCATGCCAGCCTCCCACTTAAGCGCCTTTTTAATTTTTAAAAATCTTAAGAATAAAATAAAGATTAAAGGGGGTAAGTAGGTGCCAATACAGGTCTCTGCAGGCACATTGGGGTAGCCAAGGATGCTGTGTTGAAGAACCTACATATACTGGTGCCAAAGTACTTTCTGACGTGTCTGGCATACCTGCCATGCTCTTGATAAATACACCACCACCCCTTCTGCTGTATCAACAGCAGGAAGCCCACAAGCAAAGAAGCAACTGAAGCCTTCTTCCGTCTCTTGTGACAATGGCAGCACCCCTGGGAGACAGAAATGCATCTTGAGCATGCATTTGGAAGTTGTAGCCTCTGTTTTCAACCTGGGAGTTGCTTGTCCTCAGTGCTCAAGAATTGTAAGAATCAGATGCATGCATTACCTTACCTAAACAATTACTGCATAGTTTTTAGAAAACATTTTGGGAGAGTCAGTATGTGAACACCTTGTTTAACCCATTTCTCACTCTGAAATAAAATATTCCAACATCCTTTTTTACCATTGTTCCCACTTCGGCAGAATAGGGGAAGGAAAAAATGGTTTCTCTAATTTTTCTGGGTTTTTCCCCAGGTTTTCGCAACTCTTCAGGGGCAGTTGGTAAGAAAGGGAAGGGCTCAGGGAATGAACACACACTTTTCATGCAGAAGGCCCCAACTTCAGTTCCTGGCATCCCTAGGAAGAACTGGAAATTTTCCTGTCTGGGATTCTGGAAAGCTGCTAGTCCATGTCAACAGTAATGGATGTGATAGACCAGTGACTTGACTGAAAGTTAAGCAACATCCTATGATCCTAGGGAACATGAGTCCCAAGCCCTAATTCATTTCTTAACGTATTCCAGCAGTTAAGGAAAAACATATGGGTCCTGTTTGAGACGGCATGGACTCGAAGATCTTGTGGGGGAGGGGGCGCCTTTTCTGCTCACCACTTTCATGGGGGCACTTTTTGGGAACATAGGAGAGGCCTTTTCAGTTCTGCCCCAAAGTTCTGGAACTCCCTTCCTTGAGAGGAAACTCTGATACCTTTCCTGTTGGATTTCTGAAAGCAGATGAAACCCTTTTTTGTTCCATCAGGCATTTGGGAATGACTTGTGAGTTTGCACAGAATCAAATTTACTATATTGCTGGAAGTTTTTAAAATCTGGGTATTTGTTCACTTTTAAAATTGGGGCTTGAATTGGGGTAATGTGTTCTTCTACATAATGCCTTTTGGAGTCTGAAATTCTTCTGAATTTGGTACTTGGAGGATTTATAAAACTTTGCAATGTGGCAGAATAATAGAAATCTTAGGGAAGCTTGCTTTTATATTATAAAACTCTAATTTGGCAGCTGGCTAAAAGTGATAAATACACCAAAAGCCCACTTGACGTGGATAGGATAATGCTAGTCCCTTAGCCTCATGCTTATTTTGTAACTACTTGGCAAGCGATGTTTTCAGTCACTGCTTCTGCTTTAATCATGGCTACTAATGATGCACTGCAGCTTTGGGGACGTGTTAGAGCCATTAACTTACTTGTATTTTCTTTATGTATTTCTCAGTTTTTTGTTAAGTATTCCTGTTTCACAGGGAGTTGATTATTAACAAATTAATGTATTAGGGCCTGTAAGACATCAAACGGAATAGTCCCATTAAATGTTACCTCTGTGGCTGCTGTAAGGACACGGGAATTATGTGTGTTTTGTGCAGGAAATACGGGCATTTCAGCCACAAAACGGTCTTTTCCTTAGATGTTTTGAGCTCTCTTCTTAAGATACAAGTAAGAATGTAGTTGGGGAATGCTGGAAGTTGTGCATATTTTTAACACAAATAATTAGGCAAGAGTGTGAATGCCAGTTTCTATGTTCAACAAAATGAAGTGGAAAAAAAAATTGCCATGACTATACCATTTCAGGATGGTATACAAATGGGTGTTAGAATGCTTCCCAGTGGAGACGGCCTAAGAATAATAGTAATATTTTATATTAGTAATGTATTGATAATATATATTGTTCTATAATATAATAATATATATTATCTACTATAATAATAATAGTAATAGTAATAATAATCTGGTAATTGGATGGCATACAAATTTCATAAATAAATAAATATTCACCATTTTTAATGGCTAGGTATGCATAGCACCTTGCCAGAGATACCTGGGCAAAGGGAGATAAGCTCTTGTCTCAAAGGAGTTACAGCGAAAAAACGGCAGCAGGTAGAAGACAGAAACAACTGCTGAGACAAAAGAACGTGGGCAATTGCCATTTGTACTCATGTAAAGTTTCACATAAGGATGAATATAAAACGGATAAGCTAAATGCAAAATGGAAAAGGTGACTTTTGGGGAGAAATTTGGAGGGAGGTTGTACCTAGTAGTCATTCTAAGCACAGCAAGGGAAAGAACTGGGGAGTTTTAAGTATTGACGGGTATTAAATCGATGATCCTGGGTGAGACTATGAGGAGAAATGATGTACAGAGCTACAAATAGTTTTTAAAGTAAGGGCAGGTCACGTATGCAAAATACAGAAAGTTCTGATGAGACGCATCCTATGTTTGGAGCAGGGGGCAAATGAGAAATTTTGTGGAAGAGTATTTGGACAGAAAAGAGAGTACTGAGATATAGCAGAGAAATAGCAGAAAGAGATTTGCTGAACTAAAATGGAAGAAAATTGAAGCATGAACTAGGGAATTCTAATTATTTTTCACCTCTCCCCCCATATTTTCTTGCTTAGACCCGGAATAATTTTGAAAGCACAAGGCAGGAAGTAGAACGACTTATGCAGAGAATGAAGTCTGCTAGCCAGGATTACAGGCCACCGAGCCAATGGACAATGGAAGGCTACCTCTACGTGCAAGAGAAACGTGAGTAGTTAATTAGTCCATAGTTTTAAGTTAATGTCCATATATTTTACACCTACTATGCCCTGTATGATACATCCTACAAGGAAATAGGTGTTTCATGTCTCTTCCCTTCCAAGTGTTGTAAATCTATTAAAGCCGAAGCATTGATTGGCATGGAATGGTTATAAACAGTGACCCAGTTCACCTGATTGATTCAGCCTACCATAACGTATTTACGCCACAGTGCATTAAGGCATGGTGGGTTCTGACCTTTGGTAGCAGAACATTAAAGCTTCAGCAGGGAGGCTTCTCATGTTATCCAAACCCAGCAAAGTTGGGTTGTGGTGTGGTCAACAAACCACCCCAAAAACATGGGTTGTTTTAGGGTTGTGTTTGGCTTGTTAACCATGGCAACAACCCACCCTACAGGTTTGGATGTCATGATAAGCCACGGTAACCACCCACTACAGCCTGAACATTCATATTGATCACAAGCTGTGTTGCGGCTCATTGAAGCAAAGTATAAAGTGATGTGTGGTCAGAAAGGATGACTCCAGTGTGTTAACATTTGCGGCTATTAAAACAGTGCATGTGCCAAAGAAGCATCCTTCCCTCCCAGCTCCATCCCTCGCAACAAGTGTTTCTCCGAGACAAATTTGCCTGCTTCAGTAGCAGATTGCTTTGAACAGCTTTTGTACATTTTAATTGACTGATAATAATAAAATGCTACAGAAAACCCTATTAAGCGGAAATTACCTTGAGCATTATTAACGGGAGAGCCAGGACAGAGTGAAATGCTGGGGACACGCAGTGCTTCATTAAACAGTGAAAGGCCAACCTGACATGCTCCCATCGAAGAGGAAAGGGTTTGGTCAATGTTTAGGCCGAGGGGGGAAATGACACAGCTGCAGTCTTGATCTCGGAAATGAACACACCAATTCTTTCATCATTCTGTTGACTTTAGATAGTGACACTGAGTTGCGTAGTATATGGCAGAATGGATAGCTTTAAAACAAGCATTTTGAATAATTAGATCACGATCTGATTCACTGGAGGAGGGCTCATTTAATTGATCATTGACTGAAATCAAGTTTCTTACTCATTATATTTTCACATGTTGCTTAGATAACAGTGCAAATCTGATATTGCAAAAACCTTTTTGTCTGTGTGTCAGTGTGACATTTCACAACATCACAGAGCATATCCTCTGTGTACGTTTTGGATAACTTTTAGTTTTATTAAGTTTTATTAATTTAGAGTGTAAAGTCCCTTTCAGCCTGAGGAACAAATTTGATTTCAGAAAAGCTCTGGAGGGCCACATTCCAGTGGATGGTGGGGGCAAAGGCAAGGGGCAGAGCAAAAGCACCAAAAATATCATCCTGTTGTGGTTTAAAACTCTTACTGCCAGTAACTAAGGCCTAGGAGAGGCATTTCATCATTTTACACTGGGGGAACAAACAAAACATTCAGGAAAGCAACAAAGAATCGGTGGTTACAAGGGACAGTGTGGGCTGTAGAAGCAGGTGTGCCCACCTGGAGAACACCAGAGGGTTGGGCTGGGACCCCAGGCTAGCCAAATTTGGCTTACAAGTCTTGAGGTTCAGCAGCCCTGTCTGGGGAATGCTGCATAATTGTTATTGCTTTTGACAAGCTGCCGATGCAATGACAGTGCATTAGGAATGGTAAGAAATAAATCCCAGACATAAACACAGTAACGGTTATATTTTAGTAAACTAGATCTTGTATCTCATGTAAGTGCTTTCTTTTTGAAATTGCAGCAGTGTGGTTGAAAGGCAGGCAGGCAGGCAGGCAGGCAGGCGGGCAGGCGGGCAGGCAGGCAGCTTGGTTTTGGTATTCCAAGGAGCAATGATGGATATGTTTAGCACGCCTGTCATTGTGGTGGCGATTACCATCATCAACAGTTTCATCTCATTTCTAGCCTACCTCTTCCACCCTTGTAAGGAACCCAGGGTGGCTTACATAATCTTCTCCATGTTATCTTCACAACAACCCTGTGAAGTAGCTTAGACTGAGAGTGTGTGACTGGCCCAAAGTCACCCAGTGAGCTTCATGGGCAAGTGGGAATCAGAATCTACATCTCATACATTGCAGTTTAGCACTCTGGCTACATAGGTCCTTATTAGAAGTTCATTCTCCTCAAAGTTGCACTTAATGTGAATGGTCATTCTGAGCCCCAGGCCCGTAGGCTCACTTACTTGCTTCTGTTTGCATGGCAAGTGATTGTTGGAACTGGGAGGTGAGCTATTTTACAATTCCTTCTCTACTTGTGAGTGAAATATTCCTATATATGGGTAGTAATGAATACTGAGTAATATCTGTATAATCTTTTACTTGGTATTGGTTCACACCAATTCATTCAGACAGCTAAAGATTGCAAAAGCATGCCCTAATTTATTTTAATACTGCAGTGAACTTTTAGTTCTAGAACTAGCAAAGACAAGCTTGGCAAGATTTGGTCCTGTATATTTCGTTTGTTCAAACAAAGCCACTTCTCTTTAAAGTGGGAGAGAACATCAGCATTTAGCTCTACTATGGACTGTTGTTTCAAACTGTTGGTGGGCAAAGTGATCCTGGACAGTATTCAACTAGGATTTTGGGAGATTCCCAGCTCTGAGCTCAGAACTCCGAGGATCCGCCCCAGAATTCCACCTCGCCCTGCTCCCATGCAGCTGTTGTTGTAAGAACTGCACTGACTGCTTCTCCAAGGTTGCAAGAGTGACCACAGAGAAGGGGTTCAGAGGGCATCGTGGCGATGGGAGGAGAGTGCCACCAAGACGTGATGCATCTGATGGGACCTCAGCTGCTTCTCCCCTCTTGGAAATTCCCTCCCCCTCAGCTGTATAAGCTTCTAAGAGTACAGGAAGGAGGCTGAGGTGTCACCTTGGGGTACCTTGGTGGCAGACTCTTCCCCACTCCTCAGTGCCCGCAAAATCGGCTTCACAGATGAGAAGTAGCACAGAAGTGACCTTTGCTCTGTGCTGCTTCCATTGAGTGGGATGGTGGAAATGGGTGTCCTGAAACAGCACAGGGTTGGACCTGATGGTCTTCATGGCCCCTTCCAACTCTACTATTCTATGATTCTATGTTTCATTCCCCATGGGATACACATGATCCTCCAAGCTCTGAGACTTATGAGCATCCTTGTTGGATTGTACCCTAAACTGATTATTATATGTAGTGTTTGAAAAAGTTAGTCAAATGCATGCATCTCTCTAACTATAAGCTGTAATGCTTAAATTTTGAGCAGTGCATCACTGAGCACTGGATGCTAATACAGGTGAAAGGCAGCCTGAAACATAAAAATAGAATTCTTGGCTTCTATCAGACTTGGAATTCCTTTTATTATTGGCTAGAGAAATGGGATTATGCATAGATTTAAATATGTTTATGGATTATCATAAAAAGAAAAAAATATGGGGGGCTGACCCAGTAGGTCGGATGCTCTCGATGACTATTTTTTAGTTTCTTTTCGTTAGGTTTGTTAGTTAGTAGAAAATAATAATAAAACTTATTTAAAAAAATAAAATTCTTGGCATTTAACATCTATTATGTGAATAGTTTTTCACATGCATGTAGTTGCATATGTAATAACATGTCCCAGAGTGCATAATTTGCAACAAAACTGTGTGTGTGTGTCTGTCTGTATTACCATGATTTTTTTTTTTTTTTGCTCAGGAAACTTTTTTTTAAAAAAATTAAAAACTAAAAGGCATGTTTTGATCTTGTCTGTCTGTTTGACTTTGTTTTATTTTCAGGACCTCTAGGTTTCACCTGGATAAAGCATTACTGTACTTATGACAAAGGGACAAAAGCATTTACAATGAGCATTTCCGAAGCAAAATCTGGAGGCAAAGTAGTAAGTATTACCCCAAACTGGGAAAAGGTGTGGTGTGGCTTTTCATCCACTAATTTCAACTTAAGAAGTGGGTTCCATCCAGGAAAGCTGTTCCTAACAGAAAGTTGATGTGTTTCCAGTCCATGGAGATTTGCAGCAAAAACTCCCTACCTTCTGAAAGAAATAGTTTTTTCCACAAACGTACAATTTTGATGAAACGTTTTTCCAGGTATTACTCCTGCCTTCCTATTCTAATCAGAAACTTTTTCATCACCACCACCACCACTACAATCACCACCATATAGTGGAATTACAGCAATGCATTCATTCAACTAGACGTCTAGCTCATTTTCATCACCTAATTCCAGTTTGAGTGGAACCTGAAGTCAACAACTTCAGAGTCCTAGAACTGGATGGTAGGGTTGAGATGGTTGTTTATGAGGGCTATGAGCCCTTCCACATCCCATCCAGTCTGATGTGGTGGCACCGCAGAATGATGTGCACACCCCATTCTACGAGCGTGTTAATTTGGCCTTCTCATACATTCTTCATGCATACCGTGTAGATATGGAAAAATGGGGAGTAGAATTGTGTCACTAGCTCTGCATCAACATCTCTACCTCCCTGATATTTCTACTTACTGTACAAAGATGCACACGTGTGTCCCTTTTCAGAGTTTTGTCTCCATGGCTGACGGGGATGGTCACTAGATTTATTCCAGGGCTGGATGACATCATGGGCTGAATGATATGAAAGGGGAGCTGGCCACCCTACCTGACAAGAAATGCATGCATGGGGAGTAAGAAGGAAGAGCAAAGCCCATGAGAGGGGCGGCCACAGTCAAACTGGTGGCTGAACTGTAGCTGCTGCTTCATCCACGTGGGACTTACCTCATTGGGGAAAAGGCTCTGTGGAATGATGCATCTCAGCACACCTGGATATTTCACTGTTCTCTTTGATCTGTGCTCATCCTGCTAGTTAATCAAATGCATCAGCGTGGCTTTGTGTATGGCAAAGTAATAGTTTGGCAGGAATTTTTCACACATCTGCCACAACAGCACATTTTTACCTGGGTGTGACATAAGTTGCTACCCCACAGATTTTTAAGTACTTGCATGAAAAATAGTTTAACAATTTTCTATGAAAGAGTAAGCACATGCTGCCCAGTGTAATTTAAGATATCTTTCAGAAGAAGTGAAAAATATTTGTAGTTCTGCTTTAAAGGTGGTCATGGGGAAATAAACATAAATAAGACAGTTGGTTGCATTTACAGATAATGGGAGTAGTAGAACAGTTTAAAGGCTGGCTATTTCCCAAATAGATTAGGCTAGTTCATTAGAAGCAAAAGAAACTCTCAAGATCATTATATTTCCAGATTCTTGCATGTGTGTATAAAGGACCACAATGTTTAGTTGGGTGAACTAATTGATGAAAAAGTGTTCCGTGGTCAGTTGGGCAACTGGGGTGGGGGAGCATGCACACCCACACACAGTTTTAAATACAAATGCTTAGAAGGAGCAATCTTGCTCTTTCCTTTCACAGAAATAATGAATCCCTTTTCTAATATGATACCTGCTATACCATGTGTCCAACAAAGAAAATATACTTCTTTTTTCAAAAAAAATGTTTATTCCATATGACTGTTTTACCATTCAATTTGCATAAGATAATGTTTTATCCTATACAAATTTAATTGGTTGACTAAACTCGTATGATTAATGAATGGGCAACAATTCATGCTCTCTAGACAACCATAGGATTTTTGGAGTCTAAGGTACATGGTTGGGAAAGCACTCCAACTTCATAAATGGTTCCCAAGCTTGGAATGTCCTCTCCTCCACCCCCACAGAAAGAACTCTGAAGTCACAACAGAGACATTGGAGATAGGTTAGGGGGGCTGTTCAGGAGGATGGGAAGCGTGGGAGGAGCCTCAACCACCTTCCTTCAGCCGTCTGAGCCTTTTGCAGGTTGGGATGAGCCTGGAAGCAACCTTTGCTTTCGTAATCCTCCAGCCTTCCCAAACTTGCAGGGTTACAAGCATCTGGATTGGTTTGCAGCCTTGCAAACTTTCCTTTAATTTGTTTACAATCCCAAAATACATGGATACTTAACATCATGAATCATAACTTCATTTTTTCTCTATTTCTGTTTTTTTTCTAGAATGGTCTTGTCCCAAGTACACCAGAAGTATTCAAGTTGAAATCCTGCATACGGAGAAAGACAGATTCAATTGAAAAACGTTTCTGTTTTGATATTGAAGTTGTTGAAAGGTTTGAGATTCCAACAATGCCTTTTAAAAATTGCCACACCAGTAAGATGAGACATATACATGCATATCTAGGAAATGTATTTATTTTATTTACTTATAGAAACTTCTCTTGGCCCCCATAAGGGACCCCATCATGGTTCACAATAATAAAAACAATCTTGTGGCTGTAGTAACCAATAAAATTAAAGCACTTGGCTGCTAAACTAAGAGTTAACACCTAATAGAAGCCTAGTAAGCTGGAAATATTTGGGCCTTTACCTAAAACCCATCAGCTGACCCTGTTCCTAAGCCCCTGTAAGACCACTAAGAAGGATCTATAGCTATTCCATGCTTCACTTACTCAGACCTTTGAACTATTGCATAGAAATAACAGCAGTAACAAGCTGGAGGTTCTGAGAGCTCTACCCATGAAGGATCCTAACATATTAAATTTAAATTAAGACTCCCACCCCTGGGAATGAAAAAGAGGTCTGGACATGTTCATTGGTATCCCAGCCTTCACCATAGTTTACCCGATTAGGGAGAAAACTTAAATCAGGCTCTCACATCTGCTCTAGATATCTTAAACATATGACTTGCCAAGGAAAAAACTCTTCTTAAGCCATCCTGGCTGTTAGGAGGGGCTCTGGACATAATCTCAGCTTTTTCCCAAGGCTTCTGCCTCTTACTTCCTAGCACTTATTCCATCCTCCTCTCTGGATCCCATTCCTGGCTGCTTCCTTCTTCAAGCCTGGCATTGCGAAGACCTCTCTTCCAGCTCTCTTACGGGATACAGGCTCTCAATCCATACCTCCATGTACTGGGGTCATAAGGCTACTGCTTAATCAGGTCCTGCTCTCCACAGTGCCCAGCCACTGAGGAAGTCCACAGAAGCAGGACATGAAGCGAGCGATCGCCTCCCAGCACCTGCAGCCATCGTAACAAGTCTGCAGACTTCTGAATTCTTCTGCACAAAAGTCTCTGGAATATTATCCAGACTCCCCCTTATCCAGACCTTTATTATTCATATTTATCCCAGTTGCTTTCTACTATAAAACAGGGATGGGCAACTTGTGGTCTTCCAGATGTTTTGTTCTGCATCTCCCATCAGGCCTAGCCAGAATAACCAATCGTTATTTCTACTAATCAGAGGATTTTTCCATGAAAAGTGGTTATACAATAAGGTTCTACCGTCAGTGATGTGTCATTTCTATTTTAAATAGGGCTCTCTGCATGTCCTCAAGTCAGCTGTCCTGAACCTAAGGCCATCCCAGTGTGTTTGGCTAAAACGCCTATGCTTTGGCGCTTCAGCCATAGTGGGTGGAGTTGCACGATGTGTCAGGAGCATTCTTGGCCTCTCTTACATCAGAGTACAGTGCTTAGAACATCTAGTCTCTGTTCCTTGACCTCTGCTCATCAAAGGGTAGAGTTGAGGACTGCCAGTCCTAACATTCCTAAAGTCTTTCTTCTCTGACATTTTCACCACTGTGTTTCTCTTTTGCTGTTCTTTTTGTCTGATAAATCTTCCTACTCTTTCTCTCTCTCTCTCTCTCCCCCTACACCCCACATTTACTTATTTATTAGATTTATATCCCACTTTTTTCTTACAAACTCAAAGTGGCTTACACCATTCTCTTGCTGCTCTCCATCTGATCCCCATAAAAACAACCCTGTGAAGTAGGTTGGGCTGAGAGTCTAGGACTGGCCCTAAGTCACTCAGTTGGCTCCATGACATTTGTGATCTCTACAGCTTCTAAAATAAAAGTACCCCCTTCCACTTTTCAGCCTTCTCTGTTTCCTCTTGCTCTTTTGGGTTTTGTTAGTATCTCAGTTCTTTTTAAACCCAAACTTTTGCCTGGGCTTAATTCTACACAGCTGGCCTGGCCAGGAAGTGGATAGTGTTGCCATCTCCACTGGGTTCAGTACCTAAAATAGCATCTATGAAAGCTGCAGGCAAGTAAAAGCTGCAAGTGTGAAAAGGTTTTTATTTAATTAATTTTATTTGCACCATTTATAGGCCACATTAATCACTAAAATCATAGTTTAACTAACTGAAGTTTTCCCAGGTCATGTCAACATTTGCCCGTGTAAGGTTGATGACAAATTACTTGGTCACTGTGGATTCACAATGTTGTGACTTGTTTTGAAGGATTCTGTGAAATGGACAGGGATTGCTTTATTTCCACTCTTTAAGAAGGACTGCTTGACACTGCAGAATGTGTCACCATCAGAATCTTCATTCTATTTTGTTTTGTATTTGTTTTTTCTTTTTGCTGTTGTTTGATTTGCTCTCCCATTTTATTTGGTTCATTCAGCTTTTGGCCCTACAGAACTCCACTTGGGCACCGTTCCCCCTTAGCAGCACAGCTCTCACCTGCGCTGGAGCGGGGGGTGGAGCAGCACATGCCGAGCGCATGCCGGCCAGGTGGTGCCACATGGTGCAGGCAGGCCAGCAGCGTCCTGGGTGTTGGGCACACACACATTCACTCTAAAAGACGGACAGACATTTCCCCTTACTTTTGAGAGGGAAAAAGTGTTTTATTGTGTTGTAAGCCGCCCCGAGGCTTCGGCAAGGGGCGGCATAGAAATGTTCAAATAGATAGATAGATAGATAGATAGATAGATAGATAGATAGATAGATAGATAGAAAGGACATTGTGTATAGACTGTATAAACACTGAACTGACAGATTTCCTAGAAATACTCAGTTCAGCTCTAGTACTTAACACTTTCTCATCTTCTCCATTTGTACATTTTCATGTTAAGGTAGTCTTCAGATTTGTAAAGAGAAAAATAAGTCAAGTTTGCTGAGTTGTCGTTGTTTTTCTAATAGACATGGGATCATTACACTACAAGCCTTTTCTGAGTCCAACAGGAAGCTTTGGCTGGAAGCTATGGATGGAAAAGAACCAGTAAGGAAAACTTCTTCTGTTGCACGTGTGTGTGTGTGTGTGATTTGAACAATAACAGATTAACTCTCACAGAACTCTTTCACTGTACCCTTACAATGAATAAGAATTTTAGAATCCCTTTCTTGCACCAGAGAGATGACAGAGGAATCTTAAATGAGATGCAAAATGATACACACATGCTTGGAAAGTGCTTTCTTATCACTGTACTCATTGTATTATACCAAGTGCCATTCTGGTAGATTCCTATTCCCTAGAAATGGCATTTTCTGTGCAAAGGTGCTTTGAAGTAGAGAAATAGGAATAACTTAGTATGCAAATGTTAAAACATAAAAATATAACATTATTAAGTTGCACTGTTGCATTGCTGTGTGCACATATATGTAAAAGCTTGTTTGCTGTATATTTTATTTATTGTAAGCCCTCCCGAGACATTCTGTAGGGAATGGGATAGAAATGCTATTAATAAATAAATAGTGATAGCAAACAGCAAAGCTATATAATCCTGTCTATGGAATGCGCTCCCCAGAGAGGTCTGCCTGGCGTCGTCATTATGTGTTTTTCAGCACCAGGTTAAGACCTTTTTATTTGATCAACATTTTAATAAGTTTTAATATTGTATTTTTTACCATTATATTTTAACTGCAGTCAGAATGGGTTGATAATTTAATTTATTTATGTTTGGTGATATTTGTATTTTATCTTTGTAAGCTGTCCTGAGGCTTTTGAAAAGGACAGCATATAAATATCCTAAATAAATAAATTGGCCAAGATCCAAAGGGCCTGGTGCTTTCTAAGCCTTGCCTTTGTCCCTGAAATTTCACTCCTGAAGGAGAGGAGACCTACCAGAGCAGCCTTTGTACAGTACAAAAGGGTGCAGGGAGAAGGAAGTGCTTTCCCTGAAAGTGTGGCATAGTGGTTAAGAGCACAGGACTGGGACTCCGGTGAATCATAGAACAGTAGAGTTGGAAGGGGCCATGAAGGCCATCAAGTCCAGCCCCCTGCTGTTGCAGGGCATCACCTTACACCATCCCACTCAGATGGCTCTCCAGTTTCTTTTTAAATGTCCTTAGTGTGGGAGAGCCCCTCACCTCTCTAGGCAGCTGGTTCCACTGTCCTCTTACTCTGACAGTGAGGAAGCTTTTCCTGAAGTCCAGGTGATCTAGGTTCTAGTCCCCACTTGACCATGGAACCAACAAAGTGATTCTGGGCCAGTCTCAGCCCCTCGTATCTCACAGGGTTGTTGTTGTGGGAATAAGATTGATAGCAGGAGGAGGAGAATGATGTAAGCCTCTTTGAGTCCTTTAAAAAAGATGGGACGTAAACCAAATAAATAAATAAATAAATAAATAAATGTGCATCACTTAGCATCTCATTTAAGATTTCTATGACATCTTTCTAGTTCAAAAAAGGGATTCTAAAATTCTTATTCATCACAAAAGGACAGGGAAAGAGTTCTAGAAAAGTGAATGTGTCACGTTCAGATTACTTGTTTCGAAACAGAACGTCAAGGTGACACACCCTTCCCTCATTCCTGCAGAAAGCTTAGCTAAAATGGTCAGAGGGTTCTGTCCACCTAGCAGGTACATGATCTGAATGTATAAAATTGGAATGGTCTGGAAAAAGAAGAAAATGCCTTTCTTTCTTAAAATGTTAGAAGTCTGGCTCAGCAGAAGAAACTGGCTGATGGTAGCGCTAGAACTGACCAAAACGGAAGTAGCACTTCTCAGATCACAGAAGCAGCTGTGGGATGCTGTAATATCCACTGACCCTGATGCTTTTTACAAAAGGCTTCCACACTTGTGTACACATTTGGTTTCTCCCCACCTGCCCAGCTAACCTGCCTCCATCAAGTTGTGGGAAGGATAATAAAATGGAGTAACCTCTCCTGAATTTCTTGGAAGTTAAGATAACTCTATTTGGTTGATAAATTAGGAAATATGAGTATGTTACACTTTAAAGTTAAATTTCTTTCTTTTTTTCTTTCTAAGATTTATACTTTGCCAGCTATTATTAGCAAGAAAGAAGAAAGTAAGTTCACTTTTAACTGTATGAAATTGACTGTACTAATTCATCAACAAAGCTTTCATTAATTGGGTGAAATCTTTATCCATATATGATAGCTCAAAAGCCTTGAAGTCCATCTTCCAAAACTGGATTGAAGTTCAAAAAGTTTTATATCAGTGGGTAATATCCAGTGTTCTAAGTCCAAGAGTGGGGTCATCATCATAAACTCCTTGTCTTGTTAGATTTGTCTTTTCCCTTTTCTGCATGAAAAATAAACAAATACCCAATGCTGCATTAGTGTTACGTGAAGGAAGATGCTGCTATATTTGCTAATACCAACTGAATTGGCATCAGTTCATCATACAACACTAATTTATTAGAAGTATTTTTTCTTTTGTTTCTATTTGTGATACCATGTGTACTTTAGAAATAAAGCAAGAGATAATTTTTAAAAATAGGTAACAATGTTAATACAATTGCACTTAGAGATAACCCTTATGGCTGCATATGGTCTTGCATAGCATGACCTAGTGTGAAATGATAAGGCAGTTCTTGTTTTTGTTTTGCTTTCTTTGATAATCTAATTACCTCTAGTAAAGCGGACTTGTTTGATTTTTAACCATCTTATTTCACAAGGATTCCTAATATTGGGATAAATGAATTGCAATGAATTTGACTTTCTGGTTTGCTTGGCTAGACGATGACAAATATCAAAAGCTCTACATATTTTTTTTCTCTTCCTTTTGTTAGTGTTCTTAAATGAAGCTGGTTTTAACTTTGTAAGAAAATGCATTTATGCAGTGGAAACGAGAGGTATGTATTGAAGTGCAAGTATAAAACTTATAGTGGCTTAAGGACCATTTCATGTACTACTTTTGTTAACTCAAGAAAGTACCTTTGAAAACATGTTCCACCCCTTTAGATGATAGATACCCATTAAGTATGTGCCAAAACATTGCTGATCTAAGCATGCACACTCATGCATGCACACATATCTACCCGTGTCACAGTGTCTCCGTTCCTTGTGCAAAACTAGCATAGCTGAGATTTGTGACTCGTTTGGCTGATGCGATTGCAAGCAGGAGCCAGCGTATCCATGCCTGTACCTGTCACTCCCCCCCTTCCTGCAAAGCCCTGCAATGCACAATTAAGCAGTGCAGCTGTCCTGTGTGGCAGTGAAGCGTAGCCAGAAGCATACAGTCTGGTGGTAATGCAGTTATGGACATACTCCATGCTTCGCTAGCAGAGTCAGGCAGCCCGGGCAAATGGGTGATAGTGTGGCCATCCTGATTTCTGTCTTGATGGAGAGGGTCTGCTTTTTTGGGGGGGGGGGGGGCTGGCACCTGGACAAACGAGAGTGGGAGGAGGCTGAGCAGGCACGATGGTAGGGGACAAAATATCAAACAAACCCAACATGTGATGTCTGTTGCCAAAGTGCCCCATTGACAAAGAAAGCAGAAGGATGGACAGTAGGGAGACCAGGTGGAAAGGTAGGCGCGTGTCCAGCCATTGCCCAGTATTGTGCTGGTTGCACTCCATCTCTTAGTTCTTCCATGCCTCCGGGTGAATGCTCCAGGCCAGGAGATATCTGTGATCTTTTTGGTTGAGGTGGGGGCAAAGAAGTTCTGCTCAGGGTAGAATCTCTATGGAGTACAGGCCTGCGGTTATGAAGCTAAAGAATACTTTGGTGCTTGAGGGGTGGCACTTAATAGCACAGGACTGAGTGCTCAGGTCAGAGCTATGGGCCAGGTGGCTCAGGCCTTGCCCTGTGTGCCCGTGCCCTGTGGCCCAATGCACTACATCATCACCACAGTGTGCCACCCACATGGCCATTGTTCCATGTACTGTGTGAAAACTGCTCATTACTCTGATGGCTGCTGCATTCCTTCGTCTTGTAGCCCCCTCCGTGTGGTTCCCTCCTGCTCATTCTGAGAGTAACCAATTCATTGCGACCAACCACCTCATGTTCCTCTAAGATTTCCCCCACCCCAGCCAACAGCTGCACTTCTATGTCTACTTCTTGAGAGGGCTGTCCGCACCCTGGGTCCCTCCAGGTGGTCCAGTCACCCCCTCCAAGCATGTCTAATGGTTAGGGGTGATAGGAATTGTAGCCCAAACTATGCTGAAGTGCATAGGAAATGTTGAGCGAAGGGACCCCTTATTAGCTAAACTCTGACTCAAGTATAGAGAATGTACAGTTGAGTGATACCAACTGAAATATCAGTGGTTTTGATTCAGAAGCATTAAGATAGAAATGGTCTCTGTCTCTCTAAGAAGGACATGGTGTTCTGTCCATAGCAAAGCTCCTGTAGCTTGAGCACAGTAATTTTAGGTGTTTATTTAGAATTATGTTTAGCTGACCTTTAAAAGGAAAAACATCAAATAAATGGTCTGTGGGAACTCGTGCTTCTTCAGAGCAAAACCTCACCATGTTACGTTTTGTTTTGTCCTTGAAGGAATCACCATCTTGGGCTTGTACAGAATAGGTGGCGTGAACTCCAAAGTTCAGAAGCTGATGAATACCATATTTTGTAAGTAAGGCTCCACATGCTTTACAAGTAATTCTTCAGAGAGTGCCCTGGGTTGTGTGTATGATTAAGCATGGAATCATTCAGGGAGGGGTCGATAGAACATTTGGCTTAAAAGTGGTGTCAGCCTGTTAGTGGAGGTGGGCAAATTTTGCATCAATAAAGCCCAAAGAAAGCACTAGATCTGCCTGCTGGCTTTCTTCTGGGCATGGAGTGATACAGGCAAAGGACTAACTAGCCAGCGTGGTGGTTAGGAGCATGGGACTGGGACGGAGGAGACCCAGGGGTGACTTGGGCCAGTCACAGACTCTCAGCCCAGCCTCCCTCACAGGGTTGCTCTTGTGGGGATAAAATGCAGGTATGAAGCTGCTGTGGGTTTCTCCCCAGAGAGGTTTGCCTGGCATCGTCACTTTTTTATTTTCCCAATGTTTTAAGATCTGATTGTTTTAATTGGGGTTTTATTGTTAGTTGAATTTTTAGGACACTGTGTTTTGTTTTACATTTTGTATTGTTAAACCGTCCTGAGACTTCGATAAGGGATGGTATAGAAAAGTTTTAAATAAATTAATAAAGAGGGGGAAGGGTGGGATATAAAAGATGATGAGGAGGAGGAGGAAGATGTGTTTCCCATCCCTGCTATTGAAAATCCTTTAACTGGAAGTGCTGAGGATTGAAATGAGGGTCTTACATTTGAAGAGAATAATGTTGCACTATGGCACTTCCAGTTCCTTGGAACCAGAAGAAAGTCCATTCATAATGGAAGGCCATGCATAATGCTGCTGCCTCCATTTGTACATTGATAAATCTGTATTAAGTCAGATAATTTTGACACATCTTCTCTTCCAGTTATTGTTTTCCACATGATGCGATTGTGATGCAGTAATCCTTCCTTTCGTCCGTCCTTCCTTCCTTCCTTCCTTCCTTCCTTCCTTCCTTCCTTCCAGCTCCTAAATCTCCTCCTGACATGGATATTGATATGGAAATTTGGGACAATAAAACTATAACAAGTGGGCTAAAAAACTACCTTAGGTGAGTAAGCAGTATGGTTTCTACATTTCTTATTGCTTGTATTTGCATATTTGTATCTCTGTCTTACCCCCTTCAGGTTCCATCACCATATACTGCTAGATCTAACCAGCCACTAGTCATTTATAAAATAAGTAAGAGTCTTGGTTCTTGTACATCATAAAACCCTCTATTGTGAATGCAAAACATTTAATTTGTAAATTGTATCTAACGTTCACAGCATGGGACAGTAAGTCTTCTTAACTGGTTAATTCATTTTATCCAAACAAGACACTGTGCTTTTTAAAATTATTATGAGAGTATGATAAACAAAACAATAACTCTTGCCACCATTCTCTCAAATGCTGTAATACAGGCAGTTGGTGGGGCATAGGAAAAATGCAGACACATTTATTTATGAAGTTACTTAGGATTCTCAGGATATTCTACAAATGGAAGAGGGAAATATTGGAGGGAAGCTAACCCTAACCAAACCCTAACCCTAGTTTTAATCTCTGCTTAAAGCAGCCTTGGCCAAACTACAGGGAGGGACCAATATTGGACGCGCCTACCTCACTAGGAACCCGGTAGCTTGGCTACCTCTGCTGAAGAGCCTGGTGGATGTAACTCTTGGCTAAACCAGTGCCCTGGGTGGGGAATGAGTAGAAGGCAGCTTTCTTACTATCAAGTGACATGCTGTGGATTGCAGCCTCTTCCAACACAGCAGGAAGTCTTGGTTTATTATTTCTGTTGTTACTTAAAACTTAATTGACACTGTCATTGATTTAAATCTCTGCTAGTTTAGAAAAAAATGAAAGTGAACGGTTTTGAATTAAAAACAAATCTGGATAGAATAATATATTTAATTCCTTTCCTTCCAAATGTGTACTCAGGTGTCTTGCAGAGCCACTAATGACCTTCAAGTTGCACAAGGATTTCATTGTTGCAGTTAGTAAGTAAAAATGCTACTTTTTTACTGAATGCTGATACTTGGAAAATTGTGTTCATCAACCTGCAGTGTTTTGCAGCATTTTGGGATCAGACCATGTGCTGAGGTCCCATACAGCTCCAATAACATTTAGCAATAGGAAACAAATGTGCATAATACCATTTGTATCCGCATGATTTATTTTATTTAACATAACCATCACTTTCCAAAATTAGAACTTTTCAGGTTGTGCAAATTCTCAAAGCAAGTGCCATCCATGAAAGTAGAATCAAAAGTACTCACATCATAATTACTGCAAACCTATAGTTGAAGGGTGTTATTTTACAGAGATAATATAGAAGAATTGAAGTGTATGACTGAGGGCCATAGATTGAACTGTTAAGGATTTGCATGTTTGATGCCATGCTGGCCCAACTGGGTAGAAAGAAGAGACTGGGGTCAGCTTTTAGCAAGGGGGAAATAACTTGGGTTAGAGGGGCTGTATTGGCATGGGAAATAAATAGCATGTGTGTTCTGCAAGGTCATGCATTCATACCTTTTGCTGCTACCACCTTTTGATTTGTTTGTGTGGTTTGTTTCTAAGTCGAAGTTGCATTGTGGACTTGTTCTTTTCTTCCAGCCTTCCC